TCCCTTACTACTATCTTTACATCATCATTCCACCAATCGCTCCTCTTCCTTTCCGCACCCACTTTCCTGTAACCACAAACTTCTGCTGAATACTCAAACACTACCTTTTTAAACCTACCCCATACCTCTTCGACCCCATTGCCTATGTTCTCATTAGCCCATCTATCCTCCAATAGCTGTTTATATCTTACTCTAACTGCCTCTTCTTTTAGCTCATGAACCTTCGCCTCTCTCTTCCCTGATACTTCTGTTCTCCTTGTATCCCATCTACCTTTTACTCTCAGTGTAGCTACAACTAAAAAGTGATCTGATATATCTGTGGCCCCTCTATAAACATGTACATCCCGAATCTACTCAACAGTCTTCTATCTACCAATACGTAATCCAACAAACTACTGTCATTTCGCCCTACATCATATCTTCTATACTTATTTATCCTCTTTTTCTTAAAGTATGTATTACCTATAACTAAACCCCTTTCTATACAAAGTTCAATCAAAGGGCTCCCATTATCATTTACACCTGGCACCCCAAACTTACCTACCACACCCTCTCTAAAAGTTTCTCCTACTTTAGCATTCAGGTCCCCTACCACAATTACTCTCTCACTTGGTTCAAAGGCTCCTATACATTCACTTAACATCTCCCAAAATCTCTCTCTCTCCTCTACATTCCTCTCTTCTCCAGGTGCATACACGCTTATTATGACCCACTTTTCGCATCCAACCTTTACGATATTATATATATATATATATATATATATTATATATATATATATATATATATATATATATATATATATATATATATATATATATATAGTCGTGCCGAATATGTAAAACTGGTCAATTAGCAAGAACTCATTTAAAATTAAGTCCTTTCTAAAATTTTCCCTTATACGTTTAAAGATATATTTGTTTCATTAATGTTTATGAAAAAATTTATAATTTTGCACCAAAAGAATCTTAGAAAACTTACCTAACCTTATTATAACAAGAGCAATTTATTTTAGCCTAACCCAACTAAATATATTTTAGATTTGTTTACAATAATTTAATACAAAACAAACACAGTGAAATATATTTTTTTTCGTTAGCTTCAGAATGATTTTGGCGAAATTATTGCATACACAAATTTTCACTTGTCTTATATGGCAAGATGAGCGTTCCTATTTAAGCCAAGATCGCATATTCTGCCTATTCGGCACGAATAATATATATATATATATATATATATATTATATATATATATATATATATATATATATATATATATATATATATATATATATATGTCGTGCCGAATAGGCAGAATTTGCGATCTTGGCTTAAATAGCAACGCTCATCTTGCCATATAGGACAAGTGAAAATTTATGTATGCAATAATTTCGCCAAAATCATTCTGAACCTAAAGAAAAAAATTATTTCATTGTGTTTGTTTAGTATTAAATTATTGTAAACAAATCTAAAATATATTTTGTTGGGTTAGGCTAAAATAAATTGTTCTTGTTATAACAAGGTTAGGTAAGTTTTCTAAGATTCTTTTGGTGCAAAATTAAATTTTTTACATTAACATTAATGGAAAAAATATATCTTTAAACATATAAAAGAAAATTTCAGAAAGGACTTAATTTTAAATGAGTTCTTGCTAATTGACCAGTTTTACATATTCGGCACGACATATAATATATATATATATATATATTATATATATTATATATATATATATATATATATATATATATATATATATATATATATATATGTCGTGCCGAATAGGCAGAACTTGCTATCTTGGCTTAAATAGCAACGCTCATCTTGCCATATAGGACAAGTGAAAATTTGTGTATGCAATAATTTCGCCAAAATCATTCTGAACCTAACGAAAAAAATATATTTCACTGTGTTTGTTTATTATTAAATTACTGTAAACAAATCTAAAATATGTTTAGTTGGGTTAAGCTAAAATAACTTGCTCTTGTTATAATAAGGTTAGGTAAGTTTTCTAAGATTCTTTTGGTGCAAAATTTTATTTTTTTTTCATTAACATTAATGAAAAAATTATATCTTTGAATGTATAAGAGAAAATTTTAAAAAGGACTTAATTTTAAATGAGTTCTTGCTAATTGACCAGTTTTACATATTCGGCACGACATATATATATATATATATATATATATATATATAATATATATAATTAAATATATATATATATATAATATATATATATAATATAAAATATATATATATAATATATGTCGTGCCGAATATGTAAAACTGGTCAATTAGCAAGAACTCATTTATAATTAAGTCCTTTCTGAAAATTTCTCTTATACATTTGAAGATATATTTTTTTCATTAATATTAATGTAAAAAAATTTAATTTTGTTATAAAAGAATCTTAGAAAACTTACCTAACCTTATTATAAAAAGAACAATTTATTTTAGCCTAACCCAACTAATTATATTTTATATTTGTTTAAAATAATTTAATACTAAACAAACACAGTGAAATATATTTTTTTCGTTAGGTTCAGAATGATTTTGGAGAAATTATTGCATACACAAATTTTCACTTGTCCTACATGGCAAGATGAACGTTGCTATTTAAGCCAAGATGGCAAGTTCTGCCTATTCGGCACGACATATATATATATATATATATATATATATATATATATATATATATATATATATATATATATATATATATATATATATATATCGCAATATACTGTCAATACCTTTAAATATCAAATGCTCGTGCCTGGTTACCTTGTCAAACTGGTCGATTCAAGAAGACTCATTTTAAATAATTAAGTCCTTTTCATCAAAATTTCACAGCTTGATCTCTCGTTAAAAGATATAATATTTTTTTCAATTATGTTAATGTAAAAAATTTTAATTTTGCACCAAAAGAATCTTAGAAAACTTACCTAACCTTGTTATAACAAGAACAATTTATTTTAGCCTAACCCAACTAAATATATTTTAGATTTGTTTACAATAATTTAATACTAAACAAACACATCGAAATATATTTTTTTCATTAGGTTCAGAATGATTTTGGCAAAATTATTGCATACACAAATTTTCACTTGTCCTATATGGCAAGATGAGCGTTGCTATTTAAGCCAAGATTTCAAGTTCTGCCTATTCGGCACGACATATATATATATATATATATATATATATATATATATATATATATATATTGAACGAACATACATACAGGCAAGTAGACATGTAACATTTATGTATGTATACATACACAGATGTATACTTATGAATGTGCATTCACATGCATGTGCATACATGTATATGCGTGTGTGTTATCACCACTAGTAATATCATCATTACAGTATTAACGTCTCCACCACACCCCCACTGTTACCACCATCCTCGTTGCCATCACCACCATCCTCGTTGCCATCACCACCACTATCACCACCATTTTCGTTGCCATCACCACCACTACCACCATCAGAGGTCTGAGCTTTCCTCAGACCTCTGCCACACAATTGTCCTCAAAGATTTGTTAAGTTATTCCATGAATTAACGAAAGATCCCAGACTTCACCTTACGAAACAGAGAAAGTAAATGCGATAATAATTATGGATAAGGTAGATTATAGTGGGAAAATGAGCATAATATTAGAAGACAGGGGTACGTAAGTGCCCCTTAATTAACACTGTTAATGTCTTGACTACCTTTCTGACTAGAATCATCACAAGGTTATTCAAAAACTCTTCAGAATATCTGTTTCATCAGTGAATGTCAGGACTAACATTTAGTCTCACACCAGCACTGCTGGTGAAGTCACGCTGTCTGGAGACCTTCATCCGAATTTCCTCGGCAAATGTAATTTACTATGGCTTGCCCCAGGCAGGTGAAGCTGCAAGATGGCGATATATGTATCTGTGGGCAACTCTTTTTTTTCCCTTCTCGTTCAGTTTTATTCTCGCTTTCATTCTCACTTTTCCATCTTTCCGTTTTTTTCTTGTATATCTCTCCTTTTCCTTTTCTCACTTCTCTCTTTTCTGTTTATCTGTGTTTATTTTCCTTCTTCCTATAAATATTTTACGAGCTGAGAGGTTAGTCAGCATTCAAGAGTTTTTTTTTTTTTTTTGCATCGAACGGGTGTGCATTTAATGTGGATTACTATAGGATACCTAAAGTATACCTGAAGGAACCTTTCAGGGGTCAACGCCTCTGCCTCCCGGTCACAGACCAGGGGCGCGGGGGCGTTACCTCCTGTTTGGAGGTAGTAATATTGGTTTACAGTATCTCGCGATTGTTTTACTGCCACCTTAGTGAAGTATTGAAATATCAGATATCGGGGGTTTTTAATGACGTTGGGGTGACAACTGTGTCCAGGCTTCTCCATAGAATACTTAAGGCCTGAAAAATTTTAGATTATGCTTTTAAATGTTAATAGATTGATGTTATTTTAATTGTTGCAGGATGTTTTACCACGTGTTAATGTAAATGTTTTTATTTTGCATTGGGAAAGGAGGTGGGTAAGTGTTAGTTTGTGTGTTGTACTTGTGCACGTGAGTGTAGTATTGTTACGTGCATACAGCTGTATATGATCTGTTAATTGCAGTAAATATTAAAACTTCCGTGCGTAATAACCTAATTACTGCACGTAAACTGAGGAAGCAAATTAACCACGGAGGAGCTGAATGATAGCTCTAGGTCTTTTGTGTTGCAATCAACATATCAGGAGCTTGCAATGTTGCTAGGTAGAGTCCTTCCCTTGAATGGATCTACCTAGACCTCCTACTCATTTCTGCAACATTGCATGCTCCTGATGTGTTGATTGCAGCACGAAAAGCTTAGAGCAGTCATTCAGCTCCCCCCGTGTTTGTTTTGCATCTCGTATTGCAAAACAAACTGAAGATGTATGACATCGTGGAATTGATGTGGAGTTATTTTGTAAATTTTCCTCTCTGACTCCATCTTTCCCTGCCATTCTTACACCTTTCTCTCTGCCTGCAGGTTGGCACCGACCATCTTGTGCGTGGCACTGTTCTGTGCATCATTACTTCGGTTCCTGGGGTATGGCCCGCGTGCACACTTCCTGCGCTCCTTCCAGGAGGACTGCTCAGACCACTGGTGGAAGGACCCGCTCTTCATCAACAATTACGTTTTCCCAGACAACGAAGGCAACAACGTGAATGACGTAGGTTGCATAAAATCTCAGATAAAGGAGTGAGGGAGAGAGTGGGATATTTTTTTGTGTTAAATTGTTATCTATCCAAGCCTTCGTCGTTTTCCTGTATTTAGGATGGAATTCAATTATAAGGTGACGAAATGTGTCATCCTGAGCTAGGAGACTTCTGTGAGGCGTTCAGGATATCTTCAAATAATATCTAATGCAGCTTCAGTGGTTTCGTTCTAACCAAACTGAAGTTATAATTCCTTGGGAGAAGAAAAAGATAAGGAAGTGCAAATAAGTCTTCTAATACAAGTGTCATTCATTCATTTTATATATCTTGTATAAGCAAAATTTTGCAACAACAGCATTAATTAAATTCTGCGATGGTATCAGTGACATGAGAATTTAAGAGCAACAGAGTTTTTATCATGAATTCCATTTTCTCTACAAGTGATATGTTTGAAATAAACAAAGATCCTTCTGACCTCGAAATAGACATGCCCAGGAATGCATGCAGCTCCTGGGTCTTTTTCCTCGAGTGCGGAATTTTTAAAGAAATGCAGAGTACCATTTGCAAGGGACATTCAGTGTGCTTCGGAGGAGCGTAGGTTCGCGTGAAATCCCAGAAGCTTTAAAAGTGCAGACATAGCCTCTCTTCACAAAGAGAACAGTAACGCAAATGGCAAAAAGATGCAGACCAGCAGCAATATTATTACCCATCATAAAACTCTTTGTCTGGTTGATAAGAGACCAAATTACTGATTTTATGGAAAAACATGATCTACACAACGCAGGTCAATATGGCTTTAGAGCAGGAAGATCATCTTATAAATCTTATTACATATCATAAAATTCTGTGAAAGGTTACGGAGACACCAAGTTATTATTCACCTTTTGATAAACATGAGCTACATTACCTAGGTCAATATGACCGTAGAGTTTATCACAACTATTAGTTCATTATGACAAAATGTTCAAGGTATTGGAAGGCAAACAAAACACTGATGGGATCTACTCGGATTCTACAGTGGCATTGACAAATGTAATTATACGTTTATAGATCATAAATGAGGTCACTAGGAATAACAGGAAAATGAGAAAACATACCTTAAAAAAAAAAAAAAAGTTCAGTATTTCAAAGCATTGACATAGCATCAATGCTGCTTCTCATCTCGAGGCAGACATAAAGATATTATTATTAATATTATTGTTTATTTCTATAGGTACATGTACATGGTGTGCAGGTCTAGCTGACATCAATGACATAGCTTCGTGCGACTTTTGGCGCACGATGCCAAAAAAAAACAGAAGACACAGAAAAAAAAATAAAAAAACAGCACTGTCTTCTAATAGGCGAATGATTTATAATGATAAATTTCAGTTACTTAAATATGAAAAGAATATAGAACTAAATCGAGCACAGAATTCAGAACCGAGGCAGACCGTCTCAAAGAACATAAAAAATAGGTTAAAGACTTTGGAATAATTATGTCAGATTACTTGTCGTTTAGAGAACACAATAAGACAAAAGCAGGAAAGCAAGAAAATGGCATGGTGGATTATTAGAACTTCCAGAACAAGGTAAACATTGCAATTCACTTGTGATCTCTCCCACTTTAAATCTTGCTTTGGACTCATAGCTCCCTTGAGGACAGGAGAGAGAGCGGTGCTGGAAAATGTACGGAATTTGTGTACCGCCACATAAAACCTATAAAGCATATCAATTACTGGGAATGCCTCGAAGTACTTCGATTGTTCTCTTTAGTGGGGAGAAAAGAGATAATTGATTTATATACATGGAAAAATACTTGAGGGACTGATCCCCCAATCAGCATTCCGCTATAACATACTGGAGTGAATGATAAGGGAGGAAGTGTAGAATAAACCCAGTGAAGAGCAGAGTTGTGTGAATATGATAATACTATATAATACGGACAAGCAGGGTTGCCATAAGCACAACTAAAGAATACTCTTTCAGCATGAGTGACCTGAGTTTCTTCCACCACTTAACAGCATATATCAGAACTCTTTTCCGAACGATGGTAGACGTGAACAGTTATTTCCTGCTGCTACCACCTATAGCCTAGTTGGCCAATCGTTTGATGTTTATAAGCTTTATACATTTACAAAACATCTCGTAATGCAAAAGTTCATTAGAAATACAAAGTACGATTTCGATGCTACTTCACCAAAAGCCTAACTTTATAAAGTAGAATACACACTGTTCTAGGATTAACTTGGAACGTGCTGTGAAATATGTTTGATAAATAATGTTGCAGTTTTATAAACTGTAGTGTAAAGCACACCTCTGGCAAGACAGTGATGGAGTCAATGATGAAACACAAATAACCCGCATATAGAAGAGAGGAGCTTACGACGACGTTTCAGTCCGGCTTGGACCATTTACAAAGTCACACTAACCCAAAGTGGAGCAGGACGTCTATATATAGGCAGGAAGAGGTAGTGGTGGTAGTAGTAGTAGTAGTGGTAGTAGTAGCAGTAGTAGTGGTGGTGGTAGTGGTAGTAGTGGGGAAGTAAGGAGGAGGAGCAAGTCAAATACAAAGAAAGGGGAGCACTGCAAGGGAGCTAGGTGCCCACAGAGGGTTATTTGTGTATCGTTTCATTCACGGTATTGTGCCTTTTTTTGTTATTTGTGAATGACGAAAATTTTTCTTTTTCAGTCCGCCCTGCCTTGGTGGGAATCGGCCGATGTGTTAATAAATAATAAAACAAAACTAAAAATCCATGAGTGGAAATGGAAGGATCTATGTAACTAGTTGTGTATGAATGGTATACAATACCGACAAGACGAAGAATTGGACAAATGGGCAACATCTGAGTATCTTTAATCTGTAGACGTATTGATAACGCCACTGGATGGCGAAATGTCTAGAAAATAGAGATACCTACATGTTGCACATATGTCTAATTCTTCACCTATGTAACTAGCATAAGCTACCGTTAAGCTTCCTGCTTAACCTATAGTAAACATAAACTGTTGCTTCTGTTACTACTACTGTTGTTAATGTTTTTATTATTGCTACCTCTGCTACTACTAATATTTCAACCACTGTTAATACTTCAAAAAATTCTGTTAATACTCTGACCATTAAAACTGTCGCTACAACTGCGAGTAGTGTTACTATTTCTACCACTAACATTACTGCTATTGCCGCTCATGCAACGACTACTGCTATGATTATTGATTCTACTGCTACCGCTATCGTCTCTGCTATCTTCGTTATCTCGTAGAGCAATTGATAGCATGATCGGCTCTCAACCGAGATGTATATTCAAGTCTCCTAACATCTGCTTTCCCTGTTACCTAGCCGTAAACTAATATCAGGAAGTTAACTGATTGCTGAGCAGGAAAATCACCCTCCCCCTTCCCCTAAAAAATGTAAATATGGTACATTAACTTTCGGGTATCCTGTGTTAATAACTCTCCGGTGTTTATATTCACAAAAATCCTCCTTCTTTCTTCTTCTTCTTCTTCTTCTCTCATTAATATTACTGACATGGCTATCTACTTCGGCTATTAGTTTTTTCTACTAATATTCCCTGTGTTAGTAATACTAATGCTGTTAACACTGTTACGGCAGTTACAGCGACTATTACTATTAACAATACTGCGACTGTTTTTTTCTGCTGGTTCTGCTACTGTTACCACTACTATTAATAATAATAAAAATAATATCGGTATTGTTGCTGGTATTGCTGATATTATTACTACTGATAATATACTCGTACTTTTTTCTACTACTGACACTTCTGTTGCTGCTGTGGCTTCTGTAACTACTGTCGTTGATGGTGGTGGAACTGCTGCTGTCTCCCGGTGGTGCTGCTGTTACCGCTGTTTGTGATTGTGCTGCTGCTACTTCTGCTGCTGCTGCTGCTGCTGCTGCTGCTGCTGCTGCTGACAGTGTCTGGACAACTGTTGGTATACTGCCGTTGATATGCAACTGCTACTTATCCTTCCAATTCTTCTACTGCCCTTGTCCTACTTCGGCTCAAAAGGTTAGTGGAAACAAGGGGGTTCCATGTTGCAGAACAAGCTCTTATTGGGACAATGTTTCGCTCTGTGTAGTGCTACACAGAGCGAAACGTTATCCCAGAAATAGCTTCTTCTATATTCTACACCCTGGGATGCTACCGCGACATATGAGTAACACCCAGGTACCTACTCACTGATAGGTAAACAGGGGTAGCAAGTGTGAGGAAACAAACCCAATGTTTCCACCCTGCCGGGGATCGAACCACCTATCATCGTTTGCGGTACGCCTGTACCCGAGATGGGTTATTCTTTCACCATGTTAATGAAGAAAGTTAATCGTTTTCAACATGTTAATACAGAAAGACTTGTCTCTTTTACCATTGTAAATGGTAATGGTGGTCAGCTGCCATTTGTTGAAACGAGCATTTTGATTTTCAATATGACGGTTATTTGTCTGGAATTTAATCATTGCAATCGATAAATAATAAGTGTCAAATGGGTATATGATGACAGCTGAAAAGCACAGATGGTTAAAATTTTTTTTAATTAAATGATTTTTTTAAACACTGGGGAAGAATTAGCTAAATTTTAATCTGATGCATAATGAAATTAATTGCAGTTAAAAATTTGTGGTTGACGATGTTTTCAGTATTTAAGAAAATTATATTACTTGTAAGACTAAACTGACACTGAATTATTAATTACTGACCTATCTTTATTTCCCTCTCTTTTGTACTTTCACTAGCCTCTCACTTATCCCATTTCTCACCTACATATACCCTCTTTTGTCCACTTCCCCAATTTCTTAGTTTCAAACTCCATCCTATTTTTTCCTTGTCTTCTGCTAGTTTTTCTATATATTCTCTCCCTGTTACTCTCTGTTACTAAATTTTTTGCATTCTCCTTTGTAAACTTTTAAGACAAATTTTGAGCTTCATTAAAAAATTTTTTTATAAGTTCCTCACTTTCTTTACTTATGTGTGTGAGTATTTGTGTGTGGCAGCGCGCTACTGCTTTTAACTCTGGATATTTGAAGCCAGATTTTGTTTCAATACGTCAGTATGAACGCGGAAGCTCCCCCACACAGGGTGTATAGACCCGTAATGCAGAGAAAGAGATTATTTTATACTGTACTTCTCTCGGTGAGCTTCATCAAGTCAGCTTTATGAAGTCGGGTCTAAAATAAAGACTGGTTTCACATTACGATATTTTGTTTTTCTTTTGCGTGCTTGTAGGGAGGTAAAATTGTTATACCCCCCCTCCTTCTTCTGTTCTCATTAATTTTTTCGTTGTCGTTTCAATGTTTTTACATAGTTCAATTTGCTGGCCAAGAGCTGTTATAGCAATAACATCTATGTTTCCTTCATATGCCGTTAATCTCAGCTCGTCTGTATTATTTCTTACACCCCTACTATTAGTATACTAAACCTTAAGGGAGCTAGTTATTCGCTAACCTCTACTGTTCTATTTATATGCTGGCCAGTTCCATCGCGTTTATGAAGAATAGGTGTAAGGCTACCATTTTTAAGGGCGAAGGTGTAAGGTTACTGTTTAGTCAGGGGGAAGGTGCAAGGTTACCGTTTTTAAGGGAGAAAATGCTTTTTAGGGGGAAGTTGAAAGGTTTCCCCCAGTCACCTCCCTGTTGTAACTTATGAGTGAGGGATGTTATCTTCACAACATTACCGAAGTTTCCTAACTCAGGATGGCAGTTTTCATTACCTCATGTATGTAACTCATGCTGTGTGCTGGAAGATGACAGGGAAACGTAGCTTGCTTTCGTTCTCACTGTGTGATTGTCGCACAGTATAGGCGCAGCACATTGCTGGAGTGCCCAATATATAACCATCACATGGTTAGATTTATGGATTAGATTTAGATTTTGCCGTCGGAGTGGTTAATTTTTTGCGACCTCCATATTCATCCAGTGGATGGTAGCGATACTGAATTAGGAACTAAGTAAAGGAAAAATTTAACAGGAGTACATCTGGATATGTATCCACAGCACTCTACTATACAGAACTGTACTGTGCTATACAGTACTTCACTATTACAACTCTTAATGCACTTACACGCACTCAGTACCTCCCACTCAGCATCCCATGGTGTCTGCCATCCACTGCCTCTACCATCCACAGTTTCTCTCTCCCACTGCCTCGACCAACACAGTGAGCCATCCACTGTCTATCCCCAGGCCTGGCGATGCTAGTCTTGGCGACTGTCCTGTCGATTCTGGTTCCACTCTTCATCATCATTGGGTATGACCTGCCACCCATTCCTCTACACTATCTCAGGTGAGTGCCTCTATACTTCCTCAGATGAGTGCCTCTGCACACCCTCAGATGTGTGTGTCTGCTCACCCTCAGGTGAATGTCACTTTCTTCATTACTGAGTGAATCATACATTCACCATATGCTCAGTATACACTCACCATACACTCGCTATACACTCACCATACTATACACTCCATACACTCACCATACACCCACCACTTACTATACACTCACTATACTCACCATACACTCACTATACACTCACCATATACTCTCCACACACCACTCACTATACACTCACCACACACCATACACTCACTATACACTCACCACACACTATACACTCACCACACACCATACATTCACACACACCGCACACCCTACACTCACTATACACACCGCACACCCTACACTCACTATACACTCACTATACACTCACCACACACCATACACTCACTATACACTCACCATACACCATATACTCACTATACACTCACCACACACCATACTCACCATACATTCACTATACACTCACCATACACTAACTATACACTCACCATACACTCACTATACACCATACACTCACTATACACTCACCATACACTCGCTATACTCACTATACACTCACCATACACTCACCACACACCATGCACTCACTATACACTCACCACACACCACACATTCACTATACACTCACCATACACCATACACTCACTATACATACACCATACACTCATCATACACCATACACTCACCATACACTCGCTATACACTCACCATACTATACACTCCATACACTTACCATACACTCCCCATACACCCACCACTTACTATACACTTACTATACACTCACTATATCACCATACACTCACTATACACTCACTATACTCACCATACACTCACCATATACTAGCCACACACCATACACTCACTAAACACTCACCACACACCATACACTCATATACACTCACACACCATACCCTCACTACACACTCAACACACACCATGCACTCACTATACACTCACCACAGATCATATACTCACTATAAACTCACCAACCCTACACTCACTATACACACCACACACCCACTATACACTCACCACACACTATACACTCACCACACACCATACACTCACTATACACTCACCACACACCCTACGCTATACACTCACCACAAATCCTACACTCACGTTACTCACCAAACACCATACACACGCTATACACTCACCACGTACCCTACACTCCCTATACATTCACTATACACACTCTACACTCACCATACACTCACTATACACTTGAAGAATAGGTGATAATCAGGATCTATTTAAGGACAAGGACAGATGTGATTTTTTTGCTCCAGAGCCTTTCATCTCGTCTCTTAACAAATATTGCAATCATCTTACCAGAGACCTGGTAGCGATTACGGGATGGAAGACCGAACCTCCATCACTCCTGGAGTTAAATGACTCATACAAGCTTAGTGTGTCACAGTCAATCTGTTATGCGACCCTGAAGAACAAGCAGTTTAACACCACGATTGAAAAGGTGTTGATCCAAGGCGTTGTATGCTCCCTACAGGTCTAGCGCTTCCTTCTAGTAAAGATAAATTTACTCTATACTTAAACTACCACAGAATTTAGGGTAAATAATGATTCTACAACGTAATTCAAAACTTTTTAAAAATTTTTTTCAAAACGATTTCGTAAAAGGCCACATTATGCCCAGCACAGTGTTTACAAGGTATTTTCATCATTATTTATATAAAGCGCTGAACCCATGTGGTCACTCAGATCAGGATTTTGGAAGCTCTATCCTCCAGCTGGAACAAGCGAGTGAGCGCCTTACTGCTCGCACATGCAAGACATTACCCCTACCATGTGTACACTGTGGGTAGTCTTCACTGCTGTGAAGTCAACAATTCACAACACTAACAGCACTGTTGCTGCAACGATTCTAACTAGCCTTTGCAACATTACTGTTCTGCAACTGATTGCATAACTAGCCTAACAGTACGTGCTGCATACGATTCAAGCACTTCCTCACTATGAGTAACATCACCTCTACACACTTACTGTGCTGCACAGTCACACTTAGCCCTGACAGACTAACAGTTTGCACAGATTGAAACGTTACACAGCTTGGCTCACATAACTAATCTACTACCTCTAATAATAACAATTTCTCATACTAAACTCACAGATTTCAAGTATAAGACTTCATGGACATACTTCGATTGTCAAGAACTTAAAATATCTTGTGCATAATAAGATTTCGTGAATAAACAATCCCGCCATGCTAAGGTATTCACATATGTGATACTAACCTGACCCATGTGGGTATAACGTGAGTTGGAAAAGTCATCCCAGTGGATAAACCGCGGTGACAGAGCTCACACAACTCTACCACCAGTTACACTGTGACTCCACTGCTAACACAATAACAGCTACTGCACTTGCCAACTAGAATTTACTGCTAACATAGCCAAGTTAACATAGCACCATCTGTGCTGCAACATAAGCAGCTTCATTACTATGACGCAACAATCCAACGCTACACCTGTGCCTGCAAGTTACTAACTAAGCCACACATGCAACTAACACTCATCATGCTGCAGATAACTACAATACCATATACCTAGCAACAACACACTAAACCAGTACAAACTGTCAGCTTGAGTAACTTGGTGCAAGTATAACGATTTGCTTGCAGTAAATAAACTGTGAATCCTGTCACTAAGTAACACTAACATCTGAACCTCACCCTGCCTGGACAGTACTATACACTTCACTCTGAAAAGTCATCACCACAGTGCATACTAGACCCGCGGACAGGTCTACAACTCCACCCGCTGCACTGCCCAGTACTACATCAAGATACACTGCCTGTCACAAGGTACAACACCCTGCTGCCACAGATACTAGACATCATCCTGCCAGCACAGATTACTAAATCCCATGCCTGTCACAGTACTTAATGACTAACACAACCTACACATGTATTTAACATCATACTGAGTACACTGATGTACTAACACTCAAACACCTGCCTGCACAGTACTAACACTCGCCTCTCATACTATACATTCTCTCCCCTGCCTGCCTACAGTACTAACCCGTCACCCTGCCTGCACAGTACGAACATTCACCTTGCCTGCACAGAACTAACACTCACCCTGCCTGCACAGTACTAACACTCACCCTGCCTGCACAGTACTAACACTCACCCTGCCTGCACAGTACTAACACTCAACCTGCCTGCACAGTACTAACACTCACCTGCCTGCAAGTACTAACACTACTCTGCCTGCACAGTACTTACACTCACCCTGCTGACAGTACTAACACTCACCCTGCCTGCACAGTACTAACGCTCTACCCTGCCTGCACAGTACTAACACTCACCCTGCCTGCACAGTACTATCACTCACCCTGCCTGCACAGTACTAACACTCACCCTGCCTGCACAGTACTAACACTCAACCTGCCTGCACAGTACTAACACTCTGCCTGCACAATACTAACACTCACCCTGCCTGCACAGTACTTACACTCACCCTGCTTGGACAGTACTAACACTCAACCTGCGTGCACAGTACTAGCGCTTACCCTGCCTGCACAGTACTAACACTCACCCTGCCTGCAGAGTACTAACACTCAACCTGCCTGCACAGTACTAACACTCTGCCTGCACAGTACTAACACTCACCCTGCCTGCACAGTACTAACACTCTGCCTGCACAGTACTAACACTCACCCTGCCTGCACAGTACTAACACTCACCCTGCCTGCACAGTACTAACACTCAGTTTGCCTGCACAATACTAACACTCACCCTGCCTGCACAGTACTTACACTCACCCTGCTTGGACAGTACTAACACTCACCCTGCGTGCACAGTACTAGCGCTCACCCTGCTTGCACAGTACTAACACACTGCCTGCACAGTACTCTCACCCTTCCTACAGAGTACTAACACTCATCTTGCCTACACAGTTCGAACACTCACCCTGTCTGCTCAGTACTAACACTCACCCTGCCTGCACCGTACTAACACTCACCCTGCCTGCACCGTACTAACACTCACCTGCCTGCACAGTACTAACACTCACCCTGCCTGCACAGTACTAACACTCACCCTGCCTGCACAGTACTATCACTCACCCTGCCTGCACAGTACTAACACTCACCTTCCTGCACAGTACTAATACTCACCCTGCCTGCACAGTACTAACACTCATCCTGCCAGCACAGTAACACCCTGCCTGCACAGTACTAAGACTCACCCTGCCTGCACAGTACTAACACTCAACCTGCCTGCGCAGTACTAACACTCACTCTGCCTGCACATTACTAACACTCTGTCTGCACAGTACTAACACTCACCCTGCCTGCACAGTACTAACACTCCTGCACAGTACTAACACCCTGCTTGCACAGTACTAACACTATGCCTGCACAGTGCTAACACTCACCCTGCCTGCAAAGTACTAACACTCACTCTGCTTGCACTGTACTAACACACTACCTGCACAGTACTAGCACTCACCCTGCCTGCAGAGTACTAACACTCAACCTGCCTGCACAGTACTAACACTCTGCCTGCACAGTACTAACACTCACCCTGCCTGCACAGTACTAACACTCTGCCTGCACAATACTAAGTCTCACCCTGCCTGCACAATACTAAGTCTCACCCTGCCTGCACAGTACTAACACTCAACCTGCCTGCACAGTACTAACACTCACCCTGCCTGCACAGTACTAACAGTCTGCCTTCACAATACTAACACTCACCCTGCCTGCACACTACTTACACTCACCCTGCTTGGACAGTACTAACACTCACCCTGCCTGCACAGTACTAGCGCTCACCCTGTCTGTACAGTACTAACACTCACCCTACCTGCAGAGTACTAACACTCAACCTGCCTGCACAGTACTAACACTCTGCCTGCACAATACTAAGACACACCCTGCCTGCACAGTACTAACACTCAACCTGCCTGCACAGTACTAACACTCACCCTGCCTGCACAGTACTAACACTTAGTCTGCCTGCACAATACTAACACTCACCCTGCCTGCACAGTACTTACACTCACCCTGCTTGGACAGTACTAACACTCACCCTGCGTGCACAGTACTAGCGCTCACCCTGCCTGCACAGTACTAACACTCTGCCTGCACATTACTCTCACCCTTCCTACACAGTACTAACACTCACCCTTCCTACACAGTACTAACACTCATCTTGCCTACACAGTACGAACACTCACCCTGCCTGCACAGTACTAACACTCACCCTGCCTGCACCGTACTAACACTCACCCTGCCTGCACCGTTAACATACTCACACTCAACACCTGCCTGCACAGTACTAACACTCACCCTGCCTGCACAGCTTACTAACAGACTACACCCTGCCTGCACAGTACTAATACTCACCCTGCCTGCACAGTACTATCACTCACCCTGCCTGCACAGTACTAACACTCACCTGCCTGCACAGTACTAATACTCACCCTGCCTGCACAGTACTAACACTCACCCTGCCTGCACAGTACTAACACTCACCCTGCCTGTACCGTACTAACACTCACCCTGCCAGCACAGTACTAACTCTCCCTTCCTCACCCTGCAGCCCATCAGTGAGCTTCGAGTACATGAAGAAAGTGTACCTTGTACCGTGGTGTCGTGCAGGACCTTGGCTGGTGGGTGTGTGGACTGCACTCTTCCTCCGTCACCCTCTCATCAACAAGGTCAAGATACCCAGGGTAAGACGCGGGAGATAGAATTGTGAGCTTCAGGGAGCACTCAGCCTGAGAGGCTTGCTATTGCTATTTTTTTTCTCGTTTTGTTGGTTTTGTTTTTATTTTGTTTTTGTTGCTTTTTTTTTTGTTTTATGTGTTTCAGGAGATACGTAACAAAAATTCTGCTGACCGTTTTCAATCGTATAATGACCAGTTGGATGGAGTTTAGTCATCTTGAGCGAGGCCTTCTGCTAGCTTCCCGATCTACCGTAAAAAAAATTGACTGAATTTCAAGAAATACAGATGAAATTTATAATGAATGTTAGTATGCCTCTCACTCTTGGCGGACGGAGGTTCGAGCCTTCACTCCTTCTTGCATTGTTTAACCCAAACTTGTTTAAAGTTTTCTCTGAATAAAAAAAATCACAAAAATTGTTATTTAGGTTTCTTAAAATCATTTCAAAGACGAGGGATTCATTTTATCGTGGATTTTAAATAGCTGTGATGAAAAACTCGGGAAAGAAGAGAAGAGATGTAGGCAGAAGATCAACTACACAGCAGTGTGAAGAGTGACAATGGGAGGAGAGACGGAGGGAGTTTTAATTAAAAGAGAATGAAGATACTTAAGGTAATATATACGAAAGATGGTGAAAGGAGGATATGAAACTCGAGAGAATGTGAGAAGTATGTATATATATATATATATATATATATATATATATATATATATATATATATATATATATATATATACAAGGAGAAAAAGATAGCATATGAGAAGTTTTTACAAAGTAGAAGTGATGCAAGGAGGGAAGAGTATATGGAGAAAAAGAGAGAGGTTAAGAGAGTGGTGAAACAATGTAAAAAGAGAGCAAATGAGAGAGTGGGTGAAATGTTATCAACAAATTTTTGTTGAAAATAAGAAAAAGTTTTGGAGTGAGATTAACAAGTTAAGGAAGCCTAGAGAACAAATGGATTTGTCTGTTAAAAATAGGAGAGGAGAGTTATTAAATGGAGAGTTAGAGGTATTGGGAAGATTGAGGGAATATTTTGAGGAATTGTTAAATGTCGATGAAGATAGGGAAGCTGTGATTTCGTGTATAAGGCAAGGAGGAATAACATCTTGTAGGAGTGAGGAAGAGCCAGTTGTGAGTGTGGGGGAAGTTCGTGAGGCAGTAGGGGGTAAGGCAGCTGGGATTGATGGGAAAAAGATAGAAATGTTAAAAGCAGGTGGGGATATAGTTTTGGAGTGGTTGGTGCAATTATTTAATAAATGTATGGAAGAGGGTAAGGTACCTAGGGATTGGCAGAGAGTATGCATAGTTCCTTTGGATAAGTCTGTTGAGTATACCTGGTAAAGTGTATGGTAGAGTTATTATTGAAAGAATTAAGAGTAAGACTGGGAATAGGATAGCAGATGAACAAGGAGGCTTTAGGAGATTCTGAAGAGAAGTTGCAGAGATTGGTGGATGAATTTGGTAGGGTGTGCAAAAGAAGAAAATTAAAAGTGAATACAGGAAAGAGTAAGGTTATGAGGATAACAAAAAGATTAGGTGATGAAAGATTGGATATCAGATTGGAGGGAGAGAGTATGGAGGAGGTGAATGTATTCAGATATTTGGGAGTGGACGTGTCAGCGGATGGGTCTATGAAAGATGAGGTGAATCATAGAATTGATGAGGGGAAAAGGGTGAGCGGTGCACTTAGGAGTCTGTGGAGACAAAGAACTTTGTCCTTGGAGGCAAAGAGGGGAATGTATGAGAGTATAGTTTTACCAACGCTCTTATATGGGTGTGAAGCATGGGTGATGAATGTTGCAGCGAGGAGAAGGCTGGAGGCAGTGGAGATGTCATGTCTGAGGGCAATGTGTGGTGTGAATATAATGCAGAGAATTCGTAGTTTGGAAGTTAGGAGGAGGTGCGGGATTACCAAAACTGTTGTCCAGAGGGCTGAAGAAGGGTTGTTGAGGTGGTTCGGACATATAGAGAGAATGGAGCGAAACAGAGTGACTTCAACAGTGTATCAGTCTGTAGTGGAAGGAAGGCGGGGTAGGGGTCGGCCTAGGAAAGGTTGGAGGGAGGGGGTAAAGGAGGTTTTGTGTGCGAGCTTGGACTTCCAGCAGGCATGCGTGAGCGTGTTTGATAGGAGTGAATGGAGACAAATGGTTTTTAATACTTGACGTGCTGTTGGAGTGTGAGCAAAGTAACATTTATGAAGGGGTTCAGGGAAACCGGCAGGCCGGACTTAAGTCCTGGAGATGGGAAGTACAGTGCCTGCACTCTGAAGGAGGGGTGTTAATGTTGCAGTTTAAAAACTGTAGTGTAAAGCACCCTTCTGGCAAAACAGTGATGGAGTGAATGATGGTGAAAGTTTTTCTTTTTCGGGCCACCCTGCCTTGGTGGGAATCGGCCAGTGTGATAAAATATATATATATATATATATATATATATATATATATATATATATATATATATATATATATATATATATATATATATATATATATGCATATAAATCACAGTAAACAGGTGATTTCAGAATATGCAAAACATCCACTGTGAAAGAATAAAGAAATTCCAAGCGCTTTCGTGACTACTCACATTATCAAGGAACTATGAAAGTAAAGCATCAAAGGAAGGTATATAAGGGGTCTAGCCAACACCTCACTATCAGATCCCACCAACAGTTAAACACCTGGCGCGCGACTCATAAGAAAGGGAACACTGCAGCAGGCCCGCCGGCCCTAACTAGACAGGTCCTTCACACCACCCACCGGCAAACTGTTCTACCCAAGAAATAAGAAATTTTAAAAATTATTATTTGTCCAGTGTATTATTAAATTCTTCCCAAATTCTATTAATTATAAATGGATCTAATTTATGTAAACCAAAGGAAATATTCATATTATTGTCAAAACTGCTTTTAATGAAATAAGATTCAATTATATTCCTGTCGACCATGGACTTGCTTGATGCTACTTTCTCAACTTTTTGAAAATCAATTGGATGGTTAAAATCTCTTACATGAATAAATAGAGCATTGGAATCTTGTCCAGTTCTAATGCTATATTTATGTTTTAATCTTAGTTCGAGATTTTTACCAGTTTGACCGTAATAAACTTTATCGCAGATTTTACAAGGAATCTTATAGACACATCCATCAGCATTTTGGGGGGAATTCGTTATCAAAAGTTTTTTTTTACTGTATCAAGATTTTTGAATACAACTTTGATATTAAAAGTCTTAAGAAGAGAAGGCATATCAACCAAGTTTTCATGGTAAGGGAGAACCAACATATTTTTAGTTGAATAAGGCTGGCTGTCCCTTTTTGGATTGTAAAAAGTATTTCTAGCAACTTTAAAAGATTTATCAATTACATTTCTTGGGTATTTCAATCATTACCTATTTCATAAATTTTGGATATTTCCTCATCTATGAACTCTGGACTACAAATCGTAAAGCTCTCAAAAACATTGATGAGAAAACAGACAGTTTAACTCTATCTTGATGCGAAGAATAATAGTGGACATAGGAACAGTTATTTGTAGGTTTCCTGTAAATTTTATTACGGTTAAACTGGTAAAAATCTCGAACTAAGATTAAAACAACAGTGGTGGTTTTGTATATATATATATATATATATATATATATATATATATATATATATATATATATTATATATAATATATATACACACCAGGACAAGCCACGGGAGGTGAAAATCTTTAGCTCAATTACTTTCACACTTCTCAGTGCGTCATCAGGAGCTGTGCAATGTTACAACGGATCAACCAAAGCAGGGAGAGAGTTCTCAGAGGGAAGTGTCACCGTGGCCAGTGACACCTCCCTGCTTTGGTTGCTCCCTTGCAACATTGCAAAAGCTCCTGATGGCGCACTGGGAAGTGTGAAAGTACTTGAGCTGAAAACTTCCACCCCCTCGTGGCTTGTCCTGCTTATATATATATATATATATTATATATTATATATATATATATATATATATATATATATATATATATATATATATGTATGTAGTATGTATATATGCAATAAGATCACAGTAAACAGGTGATTTCAGAATATGCAAAACAACCACTCTGAAAGAATAGAATTGATAAAGAATTCCCCCCAAAATGCTGATGGATGTGTCTATAAGATTCCTTGTAAAATTTGCGATAAAGTTTATACGGTCAAACTGGTAAAAATCTCGAACTAAGATTAAAACAACATAAATTATAGCATTAGAACTGGACAAGATTCCAGTGCTCTATTTATTCATGTAAGAGATTTTAACCATCCAATTGATTTTCAAAAAGTTGAGAAAGTAGTATCAAGCAAGTCCATGGTCGACAGGAATATAATTGAATCTTGTTTCATAAAAAGCAGTTTTGACAATAATATGAATATTTCCCTTGGTTTATATAAATTAGATCCATTTATAATTAATAGAATTTGGGAAGAAATTTAAAAATTTACACTGGACAAATAATAATTTTTAAATTTTCTTGGGTAGAATAGTTTGTGGGTGAGTTGTGCAAAGGACCTATACGTTGGGTCGGCGCGTCAAAGGTGTTTAAACCGTTGTGGGATCTGATAGTGAGGTGCTGGCCAAGACCCCTTATATAGCTTCCTTGGATGCTTTACTTCCATAGTTCCTTGATAATGTGAGTAGTCGCGAAAGCGCTTGGAATTTCTCTCTCTCCCCTCTCTCTCTCTCTCTCTCTCTCTCTCTCTATATATATTAATATATTAATATATATATATAAAATTATATATATATATTTTATATAATTATATATATGTGTTGTGTGTGTTTAGAGAGAAAAAGAGAGAGAACAACAACTAGAACTACATTAGATATACAGAAGTTAAGACGAAGGGTATTTAACACGAAGAGCAGTAAACAAATCACCCCACGTTCTGTCTATCTCTGTTTTCCTTTCTCTCTCTTTGTTCCCTCTCTCTCTCTCTCTCTCTCTCTCTCTCTCTCTCTCTCCTCTCTCTTCTCTCTCTCTCTCTCTCTCTCTCTCTCTCTCTCTCTTTCATTGTTTCTCAGTTATGACTGACATCTTCAGTTGTTAATAAAACATTCCGAAAATATCTCCAGACAAGCACCAGACGAGCCTGGTTGATGACCGGGCTCAGAGAGTAGAGATACTCTCGAAACTCTTCAAAGACATCAAAGTGTCTCAGTCAAGACTCCAGGAATCTACAGAATCCCTGTCCCTAACACGGAAAAAAGTTACATTTGTCTCTAAAACTTTTTTGTTTGTTTTTCCTTGGCAGCTTGTTGTGTTCCTGGGCTACATAGCGGCCATCTCGCTAGGCCTAGGGTTGGTGCTAGGGCTCTTCCCTTTCAACCACGTCTTCCCAAGCAAGACCTGGGTCGACCAGCCGGCTATGTCTGCGGCCTACGGAGCTCTGGCCAGGCCGGCCTGGGGGCTTTGTTTGGGCTGGGTCGTCTTCACCGCCCACACCGGCAATGCCAGTGAGTGAGGGGCAATTTAGCGGCGCGAGGAGGAATTTTGGAGAGTGATAGGTAATTTACGTGGGTCGAAGGGACTTAAGGGCAATTTAGGGACATGGAGGGCAATTTATGGACATGGACGGCAATTGAGGGAGATGGACGGCAATTTAGGGACATGGACGGCAATTTAGGGGCATGGAGGGCAATTTAGGGGCGCCGAGAGTCATTTAATAGAAGAGTAGAAAATTTTTAAGGAAGAATTGATAGAAATTTAAGTGAATGAATATCAATTTAGAACGACTGAGGCAATTTAGGGGTTGAACTGAGCAATTTCAGCGTATGTAATTAATAAAGTCAAGTAGTAAAAAGCAACACAGAAAATCAGTTACATAGCACAAGAAATTTTGAAAGGAAAAAAGGATAAGTGGGACGTGAAGACGCAATACAAGGGTTTTAAAAAGTATTATGAGAGCAGGAGTTAGGTACCCACTTATTCCCCCCCTTTTATGAAAGGGTAGTTGGCCCCCAAAAATAAGCTTAACCCCCCTTAGCCTCAAATGTAATCCAGGTAAAAATAATATAATACGTGCGTACTAGTTTGCATGCATTTACATTATATATAATATATATATATATATTATATATAAATTTATATTATTAATATATATATATATTATATATATAATATATATATTTAATCAACCTTTTTTTTCTTAAAATCTGGCTGAGTGACGAAAGAACTATGTCTTTGATAAGAGTGTGCAGGGTTTGAATCCTGTATGGATTAAAGTAATGCTTGTTAAAAAATCGCCCCTTTTGGGAAATAAAGTGTATGTATTAGTCATGCCCAAAAGGTAAAGCTGGTCAATTAGCAAGAACTCGTTTAAAATTAAGCCCTTTCTAAAATTTTCTCTTATACATTTAAAGATTTTTTTTTCATTTATGTTATTATAAAAATTTTGTACCAAAAGAACCTTAGGAAACTTTCCTAACCTTATTGTAACAAACGCAATTTTATTTAGCCATATCCAACTAAATATATTTTATATACGTTTACAATAATTTAATAATAAACATAAACAAGGGAATATATTTTTTTCGTTAGGTTCAGAATGTTTTTTTCGAAATTATTGCATACGCAAATTTTTGCTTATTGCGTTGCTATTTAAGCCAAAATCGCGCGAGAGATATTTTTAAACTAGTTATCGCGGATTTATTGCTTACACAAATTTATACTTTATTCGGCAAAATAGCCGTTGTATTTTAAACTTAAATAGCTGATTTTGCTTATTCTGCATCACACACACAAACACACACACACACACACACACACACACACACACACACACACACACACACGCACACACACATACATTCATTGATTCATTTTGGCTTAGGGTGCGTGCAGGTCGGGATATTTACTAGGTCTTAGATGCCCAAGATAACCTATATTCATTTTCTTTATTCCTCTCTGCAAAATATTTCCACATTTTTGTTCTCCAATGCTTTTTTTCCCCCTGTTAATAGAAACCGAGTTTTTGTTCGTTCATATCTATACTGCGTAGAGCGTGTGCATTTTCTGGCGTGTATATTTACAAAAGTCGAATATTTACGTATGTGCATGTTTACAAAAGCAATGCATTTTCACGTTTGCATTTTTACAGAACTGGTGAACCATATTCTGTCTTATCCTGGGTGGAGACCTCTGGCCCGTCTCACTTTCACCATGTATCTGGTGGCTCCTGTGGTCCAGCTCTGGTGGTCCTCCGTCCTGTTCGTCCCAGTTCACTTCGACTATCTTGCTAAGGTGAGGGATTAAGATGATACTTCTAGGCGTTTCGTGTTGCAATCAACACAATAGGAGCTTGCAATGTTGCAGAAAAGAGGAGGAGGTCCAAGCAGATACGGTCACAGGGAGCGCCTTTGCTGGTAAAACCTTTACTGGGATGAGTACCTCGAGACAGGTAAAGGGCTTTTGATTAAAGAAATTAAAGCTATTCTACTCTTGGATCAACTCTGATAACATTTCATTTCCCAAGCGGTTTGTGACCACTGTGAGTTTTGCACTTGCTTTGAATATAATATTAATTAAAAACTTGTCATAATAAGGTAGGGAAAAGGGTAAAAGGGAGGAATAAGGAGGAAAGGAAGAAATAGGATTGAAATAACAAGGGTGTTAAAATGACGCAGGAAGCAGATGATAAACTAGAGAATGTAATGCAAGACAAAAAACATCCAGAGAGGTCCTGCGCTTCCGCCAGATGATTGTGAAACGGTAACCAATTAAATATTGTTTTTGTTTTATTCATTTGGGAAGGATAACTACAATTTTCTTTCACCTAAACACGCAAGATGAAAGAAATTTTTTATGAATTCCTTATTTCGTTCAGTATGAACCTATTTCTGCTGACGACTGTGTTTTCAAATGGTTTAAATATCCTGCAACACTTTCCACCCAATTTATGAAGACTGGTTCCCTCAAGGGAGGTTGCTAGGTGCCTAGATACCAGTGAAGAGCTCGTCATTCAAAGAACTGGAACTACCTTCCCTTTCCTTGGATCGATTCTGATTGCTTTCCATTTCCCAGGAAATGTATGATCCTGTGGGTTTAGCACGTCACCATGTATATAACTAAATCAATATCAGTACTAATAGTAACAACAACAATAGCAGCTGCAACAAAAATGCCATCATGAAGATTATATTATTACCTTTGACAGATGTAATGTAAGATAAAGAATACAAATTTAGAGAGTTCAGAATGAAGTTGGGCGACGTCCTACATTAATAAAATAAAAAGAAAAGCTTCATGAGGACAGGACAAATTGAGTTGAGAGAATGTACAAAAAAAAATAAAACAGGAGGTTGCACAATCATGATATGTGGTTCAAAATATCAAACACAGGCTAGAAAAAATGAAGTTCTCTTATATTGGCAAAACTGTAAAGCCCACAAAAAAAAAAAAACTAAAGATATGATTAGACATGCTGGAACAGGCAGAAGAATATGATATGTGGGTGCATGTGACTGAGGAGGCTATATCGAAAACACTTTACAGTAGGCTCATTGCTTCAGTGATTTTTTTGAGCCAAGTAACTGGGGTTATTTTAAGAAAAGTGACGATCGAATAGCCCCTGCATTGAGCTTGGCAGGACGTGGATATTTGGCCCATCCTTTTCCACAGAACAGTCACCATGAGCTGATTCATTTTTTATTGAGAAACCTGACACGCTCACCTCACCCACGGTAACCTGTTTCCTGGAAATTCTCCTCTGTTTTTGTGCATAGTTGCATGTACCCTTTGACCATTGGATACAGATATTAATAAACATGATTTAAGGCTAGTTTTCTTTACCACACTAAATGAGACATTATATAGCGGATTCGGTAGCATTTTAGGGTTATCTATTAAAGAATTCGGGTCTTATTTTAATAAAAAAATATGATAAGATTTGTTTTGGGTTTTTAATTGGAGGGTTTGCCCCCCGGAAACCAAGTTCAGGGTTTTTGTCTTATCCCATCGGGGTTTTTTCAATCTTGTCCCCCAGGGTGGACCCCACCCGGTGACTAACCACCTCTTTTTTTTGGGAAGAAAGTTGTTTTTATTTAATTTTTTTAATTTTGTGAAATTTAATTTAATTCCCAAATTTTTAAAATTTTTTTTATTCGGTTTTAAAAAACCCTTTAAATAGGTTTTTTGTTGTGTTGAGTCGGTGAAAGCTGTGTTAGTTTTTGTTTGGTGATACTGTTTTTTTATGTGTTTTGGGGATACTGTTGTTTGTGTGTTGCCGGTGAAAGCTGGGGTTAAGGTTTGGTGATACTGCTGGGTTGTGGGGTTTTGGTGAACTGTTTGTTGTGTGTTGCTGGTGATACGCTGGGTTAAGTGTTCTGGGATCGTGGGTTGTGGGGGTTGTTGGTGAGGTGGGAGTAAGTGGGGGGAAAAAAGGCTTTTTTAACCCCCCGAACCCTTGTTTTAAATTTTTTTTTTACCAAGTTTGAATGCCCCCCCAGCTTTTTGGGGTTGGGCCCCTATTATCCCCAAAATTAAACTCCCCAAAAGTTCAGAGTGGGACCCTTTAGATTGCATTCCTTCTGGGTAGGCTCTTTTAATTTTTTTAAAAAATTTATTTAAAAAAATTTTTGCAAATATTGTATTTTTTAAAGGGGTTTTTTTTTTGGTTTTTTGTGTGTTGTGTGGTTTTTTGTGTGTGTTTGTGTGTGGTGTGGTTTGTGTGTGGTGGTGTGTGTTTGTTGTGTGTGGGGTTTGTGTTGTTGTGTGTTGTGTGTGTTGTGGTGTGTTGTGTTGGGGTGTGTGTGTTTGTGTGTGTTTGTGTGTGTGTGTGGTGTGTGGTGGTGTTTGTGTGTTTTTTTTTTTTTGGGGGTTGGGGTGGTGGTTTTTTGTGTTTTTGGTGTTTTTTTTTGTTTTTTGTTGGGGTTTTTTTGGGTTTTTTTTGTTTGGGTTTTTTTTTTTTTTTGGGGGTTTTTTTTTTTGTTTTTGTGTGTTGTGTGGGTTTTGGGGTGTTTTTGTTTTGTTTTTGTGTGTGTGTGTGTGTTTTTGGTGTGTGTTTTTGTGTGTTTTTGTGTGTGTTTTGTGTTGTTTTTTGTGTTGTGTGTGTTTGTGTGTTGTTGTTTTTTGGTGTTTTTTGTGTTTTTGGGGGGTTTTTTGTGGGGGTGTGTGTGTGTTGGTGTGTGTGTGGGGGTGTGTGTGTTTATAATACATTTACTACTAAAATTTCAACAATATTGGTATTAATTTATTTTTTCAACGCAGTTTTTTTATTTGTAATATTTTTTTTACGTTTTTTGATAGGATTTTCCGTCATATACATTATTCCTAAGTATTTCGCTATTACAAATTTACTTGAAAATTGAAATGGCTGCCCAAGTGTTAACTAGTTAAAATATAAATATATGATTAATACAAATGATGATAATTATAATATGATAGAGGCTAGGACCTTGGGTAGCTTAAGAAGAGACTGAACAAATATATGAGTGGGAGGGGCTGGGTTTGATTGGTGTCATTGGGTACGGGAGTTATTGAAGATTGAGACACTTATGCAGCATAGGGAATCTTTTTTGGGGAAACGTTTCGTTAAAGGGTAGTAGGTTTTGATAAGGACCTGCCTCGCATGGGCCAGTAGGCCTTCTGCAGTGTTCCTCCATTCTTATGTTTGTTCTTATATGCTATATGGATTAATGGTGTTCAGAATCGTGAAAGAATACACCAATGTTGTTATCTGTACTTAACAGATGTAGGTCCTTTGCAACACTATTAATCAGATAAGTTTTTTCCCCACAGCCAACGAGAAGGAGGGGAAGGAGGAATTACAGGGGCTGATGACTTCCTCCGGGAGTACTGAAGACAACGTATACAACATTCCGATGTACCAACTGCCTCGAGTTAAGAGTTTACGTGACCCTTGAGTGTTTGACCCTTTGACTTATGACATTATTATTCCTTGAAATACCTCCTAGATTGCTTCTTCACACAATATATCTTCTGATTCCTTGTCATGTGATCTAATTTGAGCTTCGAGACCTCTGACCTCCATGCCTGTCTATGTCTGTGTGACATACACAGCCCAAAGCAAGCAAGCAATCAAAAATCTTTTATTTAGAATTTGGGTACATAACATTAAAACATCTTACATGGTCTTGATGTTTAGGTCACATAATATTTACGTTATGCATTTTTAACCTATGATAACTCAAGGAAATTAAATACTGTGACCTATTTTTGATCAGAAGAAACATTTTCCGGCTATTGCACGGAAATATATTTGTTTACTAAAATAGGTAAATATAAGTTTACCAAACTTACTTTGTAGATAAATGGTTCGGAGAACCGACAAGTTGATAACTTAGACACCTGTGCAACACTTGTGTATCTTTATTGAGGAAACGTTTCGCCAAACAGTGGTTTCATCAGTCCATACAAAGGAGAATGGTGAAGAACAGAAGGAGTTTGAGGTAATCAGTCCCTCATCCTGGAGTCGATGTAATCAGTCCATCAAATTTGAAAAGATTGATGGACTGATTACATCGACTCCATGCTGAGGGACTGATTACTTCACACTCCTCCTGTTCTTCACCATTCTCCTTTGTATGGACTGATGAAGCCACTGTTTGGCGAAACGTTTCCTCAATAAAGATACCCAAGAGTTGCACAGGTGTCTAATTTATCAAAACTTACTCTAATTCTGTATGCATTATATTACGACGGGAGAAGGGAACATTCAGACTCGATACAAGGAAAAGAAGGATAAATCCAGTACCTTGGATCGAGAGCTAATCGCCAGCATCAGGTCACCCTTTTCGAGAAGGCATATGTCAGATTTTAATGCAAAATAATACTTTTCCATTTCGAGATTAATTGTGGCAAAATGACACCTTCACATTCCACTAACAATACCAACGTTGTTTTAAGTAGCATACAAGAGTTAAAATTTTGAAGCCAATCAGAACTGATTTTCTAAAGAAAATTTTAACCCATCGGCCGTCTCCAACAGAGGAAGTGTGACCCACAAACAGGAGGAAACACTTTCAGCGTCATTCATTCAGTCGCTGTCTTGCAAGAAACCTGTTAACATCACAGTTCAAACTGCCCATTGAACTGCAACATCTTCACCCCACTTCAGAGAGCGGGCACTGTACTTTCCATCTCTAGGACTAAAACTCGGTTAACCGGTTTTCCTGAATCCCTTCACAACGCTTCCTTGCTCATATTCGAACAGCATGTCAGATCACAAATGCCACTTGCTTCCACTCCAACCTAACTCGCTCACTCAAAACTACCTTCAGCTTCCTCCCATCTTTCCTGGAACGATTCGT